ACAATTACATCACTCTAATACTTCCCAATTCATAAAAGCATTTAGGTTCCTAAGTCAGAATGAAAGGGAACTCTTTGTGGACCAGGCTTGGGTTAAATCCAGGGTGGATTTTGGTGGTGCAGTTTCCCTTCCCCTACTTTCCCCCTTTGATTTCTGCTCCACTTAAAGTTTAAAACAAACTTCCCATACAGAGAGCTGTATTTCTTTTCAGGCTGTGGAAATCAATTGACTTTGTAACTCATTTTTATCTACTTGATTTCTGCTCTTCAGAGGTGTTAACAACCCTGGAACTCCAAGTACTCAACCTATCCTTTCTTCTACAGTTATCCTGGTACTGGGTTTTCTGCATATCCCACAGGGTCTCCAGTAAGGGTGTGCCACCTAGGTATCCATACTGTTTGCTATTTTTTTTCAAGGAATTCAAACCCAGAACACATCAGAGATGGTGACAAGAGGGCAGGGCTGAAGGCAGGCCCAGCTCTCCAATGGCTCTACCTGAGTGGTCAGAGGCAGGTGGGCATTGTAAAAGCAAGGCAAAGATATAAGTTACTGCAGTGACCCCTTCCAAGGTCATTCATTGAGGCAGATGACAAAGGCAACCAGTTTGGCAAGCCAGGCATGAGCAGACCTAAGGGGTTGGTTTCCCTGGGTCAAGGCGCTGCCAGTGGCTGAAGGGAGCCCTCCCCCAGCCCAGATGGTTTGTTTCTGTATGGTAAGAGTGGAAAGAAGTAGAGGCTAGCTAAGGGCATGTGGTGGAGATGGGGGCAGTGGGGAGCAGGAAGGAGCAGTTGCAGCCCTTCCCCCATCTGCCCCATGGTTAGGGGCTGAGGGACAAGAGGAAGTTTTTGGGAGGGGTTCTGAGGGGAGAGGGCTGCTGGAGGTGGTGAGGATGGATAAGGAGGATCAAAGGGATTTTAGAAGAAGGGAGGTTATACAGTAGATGTGCCTGGAAGAAGGAGTTGGCTTATGGGGGTGAAGGAATGTGAGGGGTAGATGAGGTTTGGGGATAAGGGGTGTGGTGGGGGCCATGATGCTGAAATAGGGTCTGAGAAAGTTTGGGAGGAAGAGGGATTATGATCAAGGAGAGTCCAGGGGGTATGAGAGACTGCATTAGGATTTTTTGGGGGGGTGGGGCTCATTGGGGCATGAAGGGGACAATGAAGGATCAAGAGGGCTGGGACATGAGGGGGATGGGTCTTTGTGGGGTGCAGTGGGTTCATGGGAGCAAATGAGGGGGCAGAATAGGACTCCATGGTGGTGGTGGGGTCTGATGGGGCTTGTGGCACAAAAGGGTTGTGCTGAACATGGGGGATATGTGATATAAAAGAGGGCAGAGTAGAGCCAGGGGCCATTGAGAGGGGCACTTTACGGCCACAGTGGAGTGACTGTGGGACACATGTCTTAGGGCTGGGGTGCAGGGAGCAGATCTGTCCATGGCCAGCCTGGGGGATAAAAGCTGTACTTCCCTGGTGCCAATGGCCTGCCCCACTCTGCAGCTGACAGTCAGACCCCACCCCCTCCCAACCTCTCCAGCTCAGTTATATTTGTTTTTGCTTGGATCTTAAACAGAATCGTACAGCCCCAGGCCCTGAGCATATCGGTAAAGTTTGTAGTTCCTTTCTAAGTGGAGAAAAATATCACATCACCAGCACTCCTTTTTTTTTCAAAATCTTAGACCTACGCTTGGATCCAAACCAAATAATTTTTCTCACCCCAACTGGAAACTGCATTCAATCCAAAGATAACAAATATGGAAGGGATGCCATATCCCAGGATGCCATATCCCAGGCTGGAAGGTGATCCTCGATGGCCAGTCGGGTCTCCTTCAGCTCGGTGTTGTCCAGAGGGGGTCATCGGCAGGGCCTCTGGGGTGCATAAGTGACGTGAAGCTGGTCTGGTCTGGATGGAAATGGCGTTCCCACTGGGTCTGTCTTCACTGCCCCTTTTTATAGGGGCAGACCATGTGTGACCCTAGTGAAAGGAGGCATGCCCAGGCAAGGGTCAGCCCCTGATGTACTGAGCATGTGTGCTCCATGCAGGGATGTGGAGTTTCGGGTGTCTGTAATGATGGAGTACAATGAGAGAGTTGCTGGTTCTTCAGGGTCTTTTATTTTTCAAATGCTGGTCTTGTCTCTGTTCCTAGGTGAGGTCCGTGGTTCCTGGATGAATCAATGCGAGGTTATGGCCTGGTCATTACAGGCCATTCAGTAGAGGCCTGCTACCATTGTATTTCAATCATTCTCAATCATTCTTATTCATCGGGGAACTAATTTACATGGGAGAACTTGACATGACTTTGGTTCACTTACAAACACAGGCCTAAACCATACAATATTCATATGAAACAATAAAAATCAATATGAAAATGATAATAATACAATATACAACAGTAAAAATTAATACAAACCTAATAATTATACAATATAAAACAGTGGCTATCCAAAACCAAAAACTTGCTACCAAAATAAAAATGTTCAAAGCTTATCCTAAGTTTGAGCTCACTTATACTTATCTATAGGGAATAGAGAGGGAGAGAAAAGTCAGAAATGGTTGGGGAATGCATTTTAAAATTAAAAAAAAAGAAAAACTGGGGCTTTTGCTCCATGTGGACAAGCAAAACTCATGACATGGGTGACACTGTGTGTGTTAAGGCGCAGCAGGGTAGAAGCTGCAAGCTTGCTAGCCCCTGCTGAGGACATGAAGCCTGCCAGCTGTCGAGGAGATAGGCGCAGGGGCTTCTGGGTTCTGGGGCCCTGCACCTCTAGCTGCTGACAGGCAAAACTTGTGTCATGGGTGCTTGTGCAACTGATTGTGTCTGCCTTGGGGCACAAGCAGTTCCTGGCTTTGTAATTTCTAGGGGTTAATCCTTGCTCATTAACTTTTTATCATATCTAGCTACTGTGTTACATAATCGATTATGATTCACTCAGGGACCAGCTCAATACGCAGTAACTAGCTAGGATAACATGTACACCTGACATGAGTTTTGCTTTCAAGATATTGGGGTGCAGTTTCCCTGCATCTATCTCCTTGAAACATGGCAGGCTGCATGCATTCAGAAGAGGCTACCATTCCTGCAAGTTTCATCCAAATCAGGCCAGAAATGACGAAGTTATAGGCTGTTTCAACCTTCCCCATTATAGCCTATGGATGAAATGTCGAAACAGTGTCGAAAGGGCAAAACGTTTTGACTTGCCTCATTTTGTTTCGAGGCTGTTTCAACTATATCTGTTCCATTTCAATTTTGCTGTTTCGACTTCGTAACGGGGCGAAACAGCCTCGAAACAAACTGTCAGCGAAATTTAGCACAGCCCTACTGCACAGTGTTATTAGGCTAATGCACAGTAAGTGTCTTGTGCAGATGTCCCCGGTTAGAAGAGAATGTGTTACCACTGCTGGGTCAAATCCTAAGGATCTAACTGAAGGGGGAAAAAAAAAACACAGTGAAGAGCAACTCACCCTCAGGCACATACTTTAGCTGGAGTATCTTGGGAAAAGCAACAGTTGGATAGCCCAGAGGGTCTCCCAAAACGCAGATCCCAGAACCTTTCCAGAGCAGCGCTCAGAAACCATGAGAAAGGAGGTCTTCAGCCTGAAGCAAGTGGAAATTGGAGAGGGCTATGCAACACAAGGTGCTTTGTTCCCATTGACACGCTGAGTATTGGGCATATAGCTGAGGTGTAGTCTACAGTACAGTTTGCCAGCAGAACTGAAGTTCTGCCAGGAAAATATGTGGGTGTTTACACTCAGAGCTTCTCAGTGCCAGCAGACCCCTCATTCCTGACAGCATAGTTAAGCCACTTGTCTTAAGGAAAATAAAGCTTTTTCTGCCACCTGAAAGTAGGCATATGTTGGGGGCAGACACTTCCACACCTTATGTTGGAAGCTCAGTTCTTTCAGTGGATGGTACCTTCTCACAGTGCACTTAAAGCCTGGAGGGAGTACTGCTGAGTGGAGTGGCCAGAAGCGCCTGGGAATGCCACCCACTCTGACAACCTGGTGGCAATATTCTTGTTGGTGTCATGATTTTCAGATAATACAAACATTTTTATTATATGTATTTTCATTTAATTTTAACCAGCAGATCTGTAACCTTAAAACATTCTCCACATATCTTAAAAAAACAAACAAAAAAACCCAAGGGTAAGGAAGAAAAAAAATTTAAGAAAGAAACGACTTAATATCAGGTCTAATATTTATTAACAGATGGAGCTCTTGCAGACACTGTAGATCAACTCTTGAGCAATGTGGTGTAGTTTATGGGAAGAAAACCTAGTTAATGTTAAGGTGGAATTCAATATGGTTATAAGGGGATTTATGCAATGCAGTTTTCTGGACTAGCAAAGGACTGGACTCAGTAGCTCAAGAAATTCCTTATAGTCCTTTGTTACTGATTAGGAGAGTCCCAAAAATCTACCACATTTATTCTTAAAACGTAACTAGACAGACAAGTAGGCTGATAGGTAGAAATATCACTCATAAAATATACCAAAAGACGATGCTATTACACCTTTGGTAAAAGACAATGAAATTTACCATTGGTAAATGGTTCACACACAAAAAAAAAATCATTTCCTATTTAAGCCTTCAAATAAATAGTCCTTCAGTAAGAAATAATAGATGTTCCCCATGTGGGAGCCCTCCACACCGAGACAAAGGTTGCAATTACTGAACCTCTTAGATGCCCAATAACAGCAGCTGTGACGTGGAGTTTAGTTCAATGTAACCTGACTGGTATTTTCCCCATCTTTGGTTTGGGCATTTTGAGTCACCCCAACTCAGGCAGGAATGGAGGGCACACACAGGTTAACATCTAAGTTTGGGAACATCTAAGTTTGGGAACATTGCTTCATAGGGATTTCTACCTACAACAGGGTCCTTATTCTGTGTCTAACCACTAAGTGTTCCCTGTAGAAGACATGGTGTGCAGCATAATACCATGGGAGAAACTCCTATTGCCTATATTTGATTGCATCTTATTACAAATATGTTTGAAATATTTAGCAGTTTGTAATGACAGTCTGAATCTTATTGAGAGCTTTCCTCAGAGCCTCCTTGACCTCTTTGTTTCTCAAACTGTAGATCAGAGGGTTGATCAGAGGAGTCAAGACTGTGTAGAAAACAGAGAACACTTTGTTTAAGGGTCTCAGTGTGTTGGTGTCTGGTAGCAGATAGACAATGATTATAGTTCCATAGTAGAGTATTACAACAATGAGGTGAGAGGAACAGGTGGAAAATGCTTTTTGCCTCCCAATGATGGAGGGAATCCCCAGGATGTTGGCAATGATGCACATGTAGGACATCAGGGTCAAGAGAAATGGGGGTAGAATCAATATGACTGTGAACACCTGGGTCACAAGAATCATCAGGCTGGTGTCACTGCAGGAAAGTTTGACTAATGCAGTGTAATCACAAAAAAAATGGTCGATTTGATTTTGACCACAGAAGATCAGTTGTGACATCCAACATGTTGTGACGGTAGTAGCTAGAATCCCAGTAAGCCAAGAGCCAGCTGCCAGATGTAAGCATATTCTTCCATTCATAAGGGCCACATAGTAGAGTGGTTTGCAGATTGCTATGTACCGGTCATAAGACATCGCTGCCAGAAGGCAACATTCAGTAGATGCCAAAAAAGCAAAGAAAAACATTTGCACAATGCAGCCCCTAACAGAAACAGTCCTGTTCTCCGTCAGAAAGCTGGCCAGCATCCTGGGCAAGATAGCAGAAGTGTAGAAGGCCTCCAAGCAGGACAAGTTCCCCAGGAAGAAATACATGGGTGTCTGAAGGTGCTGATCAGCCACAACCAGTGACAAGATGAGGATGTTCCCAGTCATTGTTACAATGTAGGTGACTAGGAACAGCAGGAAGAAAAGAATCTGCAGTTCAGGGAAATTTCCAAATCCCAGGAGGACGAATTCTGTTATAGATGTTTTATTTCCTCTATCTGTGTTTTCCATGGACTTTATTATGGGAAAAAGCAAAACAAAACATGCTGTGATGCATGAAACAAAGGAAATTTTAACATCTCAATTCCATGTTCTGTTTAATTTAATCCTGTCATCCATAGGATCTCTGTCCTAGGAGATGTATCTCATTCTTCTTACCAAAAATGATGCTGTATATACCTTAAACTTCTTCCTCAGCTGATTCTTCAGATAGCAACAGCTTGGGAACCCAGTATAGTTAAGTACTTGGACACAAGATGGCATATTTGTATATTTGGATTGCATTTCTGGCCCACTGTGGTCATTAACTTTACAGATTCTTCTGGGTCTCAGTTTCAACTACTGGATAATGAGGAAGAAGGTTTTCTATATAATTTGTGCACTGATTGGGAATTTACTGATAAACAGATAAACTACTGCAATGAGACTATATATAGTTTTCTGTACATACTGACTGGTAAAATAAAAGCTATCCCCTTGTCATATGTTTCTAGTTACTGTTATAATGATGCCTCTTTTATTGAAGAGTATCATAAGATTTTTGTTGAGCGAAACATTAGGTTTAGTGTTTTCATGTGACTTCCCTCTTATCTGCTTGAAATTATACTTTTTGCAGATATTACAAAGTCTCAATTTATGGACACTATACATTTTAACTTGTGTAACTGAGAAAACGTTCACTTTCCAAAGTAGGAATACAGACAGACAGAAATAAAGATGGAATTAAGTGAAAGATGTAAAAAAGTTAAACAGAACAGGAAAGGAAGACAAAGACATGGGGAGATGAGAGGAAGGGGAGAGATAATGTGAGAAACAGCTATACAAACGGAGATAAATGTTGGAGGAAGGGAGAGAAAGAGATTATTTGAAATGAATGCTCTAAAGACAGACAAAGAGATGTACATGCAGGCAGGGGTAGCTGGGTAGAGAGATAGGAATTCAAAAAAGATAGAGAGACAGAAGAAGGGAGAAAGAGAATGTGAAAGAGAGATGCACAGACAGAAACACAAAAGGGTAGATGCTTAAATACCTGCTTTACAATTACTGTTCCAAAGTGTGTTTTCCAAGGACGAAATTTGTGTTCAGTTTGTTTTATCCAGATGTATTAACTACATTTTCCTCAGTAATATTTCATTTTCTCAATGAATGCCCATGTTTCTAACCGCTTTGCCTCTCTTTGGATGATTGAAAGACCCCAACTTCATCCAACACTCGCCTTTAGAGGGTTTTTAGGTCGCAAACAAGTAGAAAGACACAAATTCTTGCAAAACCACACAACTGCCTTTTATCTCACCTCTGGCTATTCCTGGCTGAGTAAACACAGGATCTAATAAGAACTGGAATCTGATGTGACCTCTTGGTGCCGCCTTTAACAGAACTGAACAGTTCTACAGAGTCCTATTGACATCCTTGTCCCAAACCTGAGCAAAGAGAAATGAATGCTGCCAGGAGTACCTACCACCAGATTTTAATCTCCAGCCTAGCTCACTTTCCTTAGTTTCCCTTGATTTATTGTTTAAGAAGGAGAAATTTCCCTTGACATTTCTGCTTATGGGAATTTTCAATTGCTTTGAAAGCAGTTGTAACATTTTTGTATTTAAAACTTAAAAGAAAGACACTTAAGGGAATAAAGTACTTTTGTTTGTGCGGAGAATATCAGGCCACAACTTTGAGCCTGGGGCTTCAGCCTTCCCAGTCTGGCCACTCATCTCAGTCTAACAGCTTTCCAATTGCCTACTGAGACTGAGCAAGGCTGGCCAAAAACCTCAATCAGGGCCTATCCAGTTGTAGCTGTCCCTTCATTCCCTGCCATATAAACCCCTGATGCAGAACAGGAAGTGTCTGGACAACTGGGACTGACCTGGATCCATATGGCCTGCCTGTTCCCTATGTTTTGTGTCTCTGCCTGATCTCTGTTTCTTGGCTTCTGGACTCAGCTTGCCCTATGACTCTGTGTTCTGACTGACATGGTTCAGCTTGCACCCCGGACCCAGGTTTCAGATTAACCTTTTGTCTCCTGATCCAGCTCATCCATTGAATTCACTCACTCCTACCGATCCTAGCTGGCCCCACAAACCTCAAGGGATCCCTAGCCTCTGTTGCTTACAGCCTGATGTGACAGTGAAACATCTACAGAATCATAGAAAATGAGGGTTGAAGGGACCTCAGGAGGTCACATCTAGTCCACCACCCTGCTTAAAGCAGGACTGTCCCCAACTAGATCATCCCAGCCAAGGCTTTATCTAGCTGGGTCTTAAAAACCTCCAAAGATAGAAATTTCACAAACTCTCTAGGTAACCTGTTCCAGTGCTTCAATACCCTCCTCGTGAGAAAGTTTTTTCCTAATATCTAACCTAAACTTCCTTTGCTGCAACTTGAGACCATTGCTCTTTTTTCTGTCATCTGCCACCACTGAGAACAGCCTAGCTCTATCCTTTTTGGAACCACATTGCAGGTAGTTGAAGGCTGCTATTAAATCCCCTCTAAGTCTCCTCTTTGCCAGACTAAATAAGCCCAGTTCCCTCAGCCTTCCCTTATAAGTCATGTGCCCCAGTGTCCTAACCACTTCCACTGCCCTCCATTGGACTGTCTTCAACATGTCCATATCCTTTCTGTAGCAGGGAATCCAAAACTGGACACAGTACTCCAGATATGGCCTCATCATTTCTGCATAGATGAGAATAATTACTTCCCTCGATCTGCTGGTAACACTCCTACTAATGCAGCCCATTACTCCATTAGCCTTCTTGACAACAAGGGCATAATGTTGGCTAGAGGATTCTTGCTACAGAATCTATGCTACCGGATTTATCTCATCGCTGTTATATCAAACACAGGAGCTACAACACCTGGTGAGATAAGTCACTTATCATCTTCTCTTTGGCCTTGGCCAGTACGAATTATTTGAGCTACTGTCATAGATTAATAAAATCTCAGTACAGAAAATATATTTGTAGACAAGGAAACCAACCTGTTTTTTGCTTTTAAACTGCATTTCCCTGGGTGAAATTGAGAATAGAACCTGTTTCTCAGGCATGACTGCATGACCAGAGGTCATAAGAGTTCATTAAAGGGAAATTTAAGTTAGATATTAGGAATTTTTTTTCCCATTAGGAGGGTAGTGAGGCACTGGAATGGATTACCCAGAGAGTTGTTGGAATCTCCATCCTTATAGGTTTTAAGACCCGGGTAGACAATGCCTTGGCTGGGATGATATAGTTGGGGATGGTCCAGCTTTGATCAGGGGGTTGGACTGGATGATTTCCTGAGGTCCCTTCCAACCCTAATTTTCTATTTTTCTATTATATTTATGTTTCTCATCAACTCTTATGGTTAGGGTATGCATAGAAGTGAACAAGTTCTAGTGTAATTTACCTTGGTTTTAAATACCAGTTACATCAGGATTAATAATGGACAGATGTATAGACCTCTTACATGCACACCATGATCTAAAGGATTGACGGTTGCCTACCTGTAGCTATCACAGCATAACTCACATAGTGAGTGACTATTAAAGAACCTTAGCACTCATTGGAAGGGGAGCAAGCAATCGTTTGTTTACCTCTACCAAAAAGAATACCCCAGGGTGAATATGAACAGATGAAACCTAAGCTGGTTTAATTAAATTAAGTTTAACCTGGTTTCCTCGAGAGGTACTTCTCTACAGGTTGGTCAATTTGTAGGGTCAAAACCATGTTTTGAGGTGTTAGCAGAATTCACAGGGGTTACCAGGTATTACCTGACAGGTGTCATGATGGAACTAATGAAAAAAACTGCTATTCGATTGGTTCAACCACCAGTTACTGGCACAGAGCTCAGACTATGCAACACCTGCTGCAATGCCCTCTGCTTGAAGGCATATGTACAATGAAAGACCTTGGAAAGTGCAATTGGGCACAAGCATGTGTAACAAAGGGCATGTCTACATGTCACACATCATTGGTGTAGGAATGTACTATGGTGATGTAGCAACCACGTGGGTCTACACATGACCAGCAGCTACTTTGCTGTAGTGGCAAGCTCCCCTATTATAGAGTGCCACTACGGCAAAGTAGCAGTTAAAAATAACCATGCACCGTGCGTACGGCATAGTACGGGTGGTTATTGTGCCGTGCTCTAGTACTTCCAAAAGGAAATACTGAAGAAGCAAAAGGAAGTACTAAAGCATGGCACAGTAACCACCTGTACTACTACCTCAACTTTGCAGCTACATAAATGAGCCCTTTGTGGATGTTTTAAGTCACAAAGCTGTATCTGGCCAGAAGCTCATGACTAATGGGAGTTTAGATGTCAGAGGAGCAGACATCAGAGGTTGGATATTAGGAAAAATGTTTTCACTAGGACGGTCATGAAGCACTGGAACAGGTTACCTAGACAGGTGGTGGAATCTCCATCCTTGGAGGTTTTTGAGGCCTGGCTTGACAAAGCCCTGGCTGGGATGATCTAGCTGAGGATGGCCCTGCATTGATTGGGGATTGGATTAGATGTGACCTGCTGAGGCCACTTCCAACCCTAATTTTCTACGATTCTGTTAACTCTACCATGTATTAGCTGAGTCACACCTTCTACTGTACCTTCTACTCTTAGTGGCCCTACCACATATCCCTCTCTTGTCTGCAAGGGCCCATCTTCAGAAGGAGGGCTGCAGAAGGACCTGTATACTGCATAACTTATGGCATGCTGGTTTGAGCACTGTGGTGAGATATCAGAACAATATAGGTTTAAATGCTTCCTGGGTGAGGGAGGCCTAGATACAAATACTCTTACTTCATCGGTGCATGCCCTAACCTCTCAGGTACTGGGGGCCAAATATGGGAGAACTGTCAGTCTCAAATGAGCTGGCAGGTCATGGGGTTTTTTTCCATATCCAAGGGATAAATACATCTGGCCTGCGGGGTTTTTCAAGGCCAGACAACCCACCTCTGGATCTAAGCCAGGGGATTGGTTGGTGTGCCTACCAAAGCTGTTGTGTCAGTATGGCCAGCAACCATGGAGATAATGCCACCACCGCTCATCCTGCTTTTCTCATTGCCAACTATTGCTGATTTTAGCAATCAACAGCAATGGAAATCCAGATGTTTATTGGCAGCTAAGGAGGGGAGGGGGAGATGCAGGTCATGGTGGCATTAACTGAAACAGTGGCTCCAGCTGTTGTGGTGACAAGACTCAAACACCAAATAGTTGACTGCTGTGGGGCATATCTGACTGGTGGGATATCTGTTGGACATCTGTAGTCTAGGGAAAATATTTGTTGATAGTGTGGTATTGTTGAAGATGATATCTTGTTCAGTCGTTTAACTTGTCTGAATCATCAATAATGTCTTTCCTTAGCTGGAATTTCTGATATGACCTCTTATTGCTGCCTTTCATGTGTGTCCAAAAACAGTCCTCCATCCTCTTCTCCCCACACAGACTCCAAACAATAGAAGTGAGAGATTCAAAGACCTGCAGCACTAATTTCTCATGTCACACCTTGCCCGGTGTTCTTGTTATCAAAAAGTGTCCCCTTTCACTATATAGAACAAGAAATCTACCTTGACACATCTATTAATGGGAAATAACAACTGCTGAGAAGGCAGATATTATATTTATTTTTAAAAGCTTCAAAGAACAAGTGTTCTTTGCTCCGAGGACCCAAAGCTCAACAGGTACAGTCACTTCATATGTTTATTAAATGACCTTACAATGCCTGTGATATTGTAAAAACCACCATTTTCCTGACACTTTTTTTGAAGGCCTCTTTAACATCTTTGTTTCTCAGGCTATAAATCAAGGGGTTGACCAGAGGTGTCAGAATTGTGTAGACAACAGAGAACATTTTGTTCAGGATTCTCGGTGCAGCAGTATCTGGTAACATGTAGACAATGATTAGCGTCCCGTAGTAAAGCATAACCACAATGAGGTGAGTGGAGCAGGTGGAAAAAGCCTTTTGCCTCCCTGTACTGCCAGGGATTCCCACAATGGTAATGATGATGCAGATGTAGGATGACATGGTTAATACCAATGGAACTAGCGAGAAAATAGAAGAGCATAGAAAAGCCACAATTTTCATCACATGGAGATCACTGCAGGACAGGTTTATTAGCAGAGTGAAATCGCAGACGAAACTGTCAATTTCGTTCGGGCCACAGAAACGTAATTGTGACATCAGTATTATTACTATGGAAATAGCCAGAAAGCCACTGATCCAAGACCCCACTGCTAACTGTATGCACAACGTATCATTCATAAGGGCACCATAATGAAGGGGTTTACATACTGCTAAATAACGATCATAAGACATCAGGGATAAGAGATAACATTCTGAACACACCAGAGAAGCAATGAAATAAAATTGTACAATGCAACCGCTCACAGAAATGGTTCTGTCTTTACTTAGCAAACTGTCCAGCAACTTGGGCAAGATGGTGGAGGTGTAGCAGGTCTCCAGGCAAGCCAAATTGGCCAGGAAGAAATACATGGGAGTGTGAAGGTGATGATCAGCCACAACTAGCACAACAATGAGGGTGTTCCCAGCCATAGTCCCAATGTAGATCACTAGAAATAGCAAGAAGAGAAAAATCTGCAGTGTCTGGAGCTCCCCAAATCCCAGGAGGATGAATGTTGTGACAGAAGTTTGATTTTCCCAGTTTGTGTTTTCCATGAACACTAGGGAAAATTCAGAGATTCACAGAAGTTAGGGGTTGTAAGGGACCTCATGCGATCATCGGGTCCAGCCCCTGCTTTGGGCAGGAAAGACTGCTGGGGTCAAACAAACTGAGGAAGGTGTGCATCCAGTCTCCTTTTGAAGAACTGCAGTGTAAGTGCCTGCATCACCCCCGCTGGGAGTCTGTTCCAGAGCCTGGTCTCACGAACCGTGAAGAAGTTTTTCCTTATATCCCATCTGAAACCTCCTTCTAGGAGTTTATGACTGTTGTGCCTGGTTTTTCCTGGGGCGCTTTGGTGAATAATTTTTCACCTACCCCCTGATGCTTTCCCCTGATTTTTTTTGTAAGTTGCCATCAAATCCCTCCTAAGTCTTCTCTTTTGTAGGCTGAACAGTTCGGTATCTGTCAGCCTTGCCTCCTATGGCTTGCTCTTCCAGTTTCTAACCATATGAGTGGCTCTTCTCCAGACTCTCTCAAGCTTCTCTACATCCTTCTTTAAGTGTGGCACCCAGAACTGGATGCAGTACATAAATGAATGTATAGAATTTAAGACAGCATCAAATACTATATCTGTAAATATTTACATATCCAGGGTTTCCTATTGATTTCTAATGCTCTTTTTCTTCATATCTGTGAGTCTGTACTTATAAAAGTTTCTCTGGAATTCCAAAAATCAACCAAGTTGCTGCAACTTAGTATTGCTGCTGTTTTTCTTTAGTCTACCTCTGTAGATACCATGTTTCTCTACCTTTCTGCCATATGCGTGTTTGGAGACAATCTAAATCCATTGTGAATTCTAGAAAATTTTGCACAACTTCTACTCTTAAGCAATATTAGACAAATTATCAAGGACAGATAACCCTATTTAGTTCCCATTAAATATCAGTTTCCATAGCTTCAGTTGGTACGTATTGGCAAAACCGAAACAACTTCCAAGGCTTGTATTAATTCACTCCAATTGATTTTATGAGTGCTATATTGATTTACATCAGCTGATGAGCTGCACCACTAAATAGATGGCCCTTACTTTTTAAAAGTGATACGGCTTATATTATTTTGACTCAAAAAATTTAAAACAGGATTTTGGGTGATTTGAGGACCAAAAATAATTAGCATTTTTCCTTTCCCCCCCTTCTCTCTCTCTCTCTCTTTTAAATTATAGGTTTCAATAAAAAAAAAGTAATTGAAAAATACAAAAGGTGAAACACTTTAGACTTCTAATTTGAAATACCTGAAAACATTTCAAACCTGGATTACTCCAAGCCACATAAAAGTCATCCAAAGAGCTAATATTTTAAGTAAAGGCAATATTATTTAAGAGTTTCTAACCAACAGATTTCAAGTAAAAAAATACATTAAATGGAATGGGAGAGAGAAATAAAAAAAAAAAAAGTTCTCTCAGTTCTAATGATTCTAATTATATCTGCAATACCTAACACCTGTGTACCAACACATACATCCACCATTCTCACTTGGAAAAAAGAAGGGTTTCAGAGGGAAAATTACAGAGACTAAGAAAGAAAGATTCCCTGAGATACACCAACAAGCATAAGCAGGTACCAGTTTGTCAGGGGAGAATTCTTCATTGAGAAGATGGGACTGATAAAGACCAATCAGTATGTTTCATAGGATCACAGACAATGAGGGATGGAAGGGACTTTAGGAGGTTGCATTTAATCCAACTCCCTGCTCAAAGCAGGACTGTCCCCAACTAGATCATCCCATCCAGTTTCATCCCCTGTAGCATCCCAAATCAGAGGCAAAATGTGTTTTACCTTCTGGACAAGGCATTCACATACCTGTGTGTCCAATGTAACACTTTCATTCAGATTTCTGGCCCAAGATGCAGGATCTGTAGCCTGTGCTTTGTCAGACAATTTAGGATTTTCAATAGAGAGGTCTGTTTCTTCTTTATAGCACTCCTTTTTTGTTGATCTTCTTGGTATATTTTGCCTTGTCTCTTTTACCAAACGACAAATGACATACTTGCTTTCTTCATTTATTTATTCTCTGAGGAGATGAGGTATCCCTTGGCATTTCAAGTGCTTGGGGTATTTTCAGTTGGTGAAAAGGGAGCATTTATAATTTATGTATTCAAGGATGAATAAGGAGTAATCTTAATGGAGGAGACTTTCTATCCCCAGACAGGAAATTCATGCCGAGAAGAAAACGTCAACTCATTCTCGTAGATAAGATGAGCAACATCGTCCTGCCTTTGCCACTTGTTTGTCCACCGTCATGGTGTCAATAATACTGAAGCATCTCCATTTTTAAACATCTTGATCATGATAGGCAGACAAGGTTCCTTGGGTGAATTTGATATCTTTTATTAGACCAACCCAAATGGTTGGAGAATAGTTATTAAGCAAGCTTTTGGGTTCAAAAACCCTTCGTCAGGCGCTTGACATGCGGCAAGTGCTCCCAGGGCACTTGCCGCATGTAGTGCCTTCCCTCCTGTCATGAGCAGCAGAACTCCCCCATTACTACTACCCAATGGGTGACCCCCCACCCTGACCAACTGCTGGCATGATCAGCACAAGCCTTCCCACTCCACACCTGCCACAGGAGTGTTCACTTGCTGCCACCAATGCACGGGTAATTCCTCTCTCCCTACCATTCGTGCACAAACAGTGTATGTCTCTGCTGGGCCATCTGTTTTGTTTTTTTTAATGTGTTCACCTTGGATGGAAATATATTGATAGTGATTGTCATACTAGTGTGCCCAACCCTTCAAACTCCCTATATATTTTTTCCACAGGAATTTAGCATTTCTGGAGGCCTGCTACACTTCTGTTATTATCCCCAAAAAGCTAGTGAACTTGCTGTCAGATACCCAAAATATCTCTTCCATGGGCTTCAGAACTCAGATACATTTCTTCATTTTCTTTGAAGTTACAGAGTGCTGTCTCCTCTCAGTTATGGTATATGATGAATAAATTGACATTTGCAATCCCGTGTGATAAATTCTCAGCATGTGCCATAGGGCCTGCACAAAGGTGACTTAGCATGGATGGACTATCGGTACAGCAGTAGCCTTTAATCGAACAGTCTCAATAATGTTTACAAAGCCCTTCTGTAGGTCTAACAGAACCAGCTATTTTTTCTCTGTTTTGCTTCTGTATTGACTCTGGCCTTACTGAGAGCCACAAAGATGAACCTGTTGTTACATACTTGGTGTACTCCTTAAGCTGGTCTTTTTTTGCCCATCATCTTGTCCTACATGGTCATAGTCTCCACTGTCCTCAAAATGTCTTCCACTGAGAAGGCAGGCACAAAACTTTATCCCCATGTTTTTCACTCCCCATTGTGGTTTCCCTCTTCCTATGAGACTGTTATATGGAATCCATATCAGCCCATTCTCAGGATGGAGAACGATTCCTCTCCTTGATATTGCCAGTACTGACTCCACAGTTTAACCCCATTATTTACAGCTTTTGGAACAAGGAGATGATATCTTCTGTCAAAAGAAAGAAAAATAAGAAAGGAAGAGTTTTATTAGACAATCTTTATGTGATGAGTTTCTTATCACTGTGAGGATGTTGAATACTGTTATATTTAGCTTTGTCTTAAATTCATTAAAGTGTCTCTTCTTCCTCAGAATATGAAAGAAATGTTCAAAGTCAGTAGAGCAGGGGCAGGCAAAATACAGCCCGCGGGCCAGATCCAGCCCACCAAGCACTTTCATCTAGCCCATGGACCCCACCAACAAATTGTGCCCCACTCAGCCCTTCCACCCACAAGGGTGGGGTCAAGATGCCCATGTGCACACCACCCCCACAACATACCCTATTGCTTTGCTCCCACCCTCATGGGTGGAAGGGCCCTGCATATGGCTAGTGGGCAGCTTCTGTGCGGGGCTGCTGCTGTAGCACCCAGGGACCTGCTCCACTTCCCTGGTCTTCTGCTGGCTCCAGGCAGCAGGCAGGGAAGCAGTGGGGGCAAGGCTGCAGCTGGGAGTGTGGGGATGGTAGCAGCATGGAGCCTGCCCCCAAAGGGCCAACAGCAGCATGGAGCTTGGGTAGGCAGGGAGTGGGTGTGAGGGAAGGTGGGGGGTGTGGGAACCCCCCCACACACTCTCCCCATGATGCATAGTCCCAGCAGACAGTGGCAGAAGCAGCAGTAGGGGACACACACATACCCCACCATGTACACCCACCACACACACATACACATACCCCACCCACACCCCACCACAACCTCAGACCCCCCCACTATTCACACCCCCACCCCCCACCATACACCCCCCCACAATACACAAAACTAACAATGTATTTTGAGTTATTATGCAATCACTTCTATATGCACTACACAAACACAAATCATGACAAAAATATTTTTTTGTAATAAAATTAAAATATGTTATAGTATAGGTTTGACTTTTAGTGTATGATTTGGTTTTTTCAGGTTCTAAGATGGCAACCCCTCTCCCAAAGGAGTATTTTTTGTGGGGGGGGGCAAGGGGAGAGACTTGCAGTGGTAAAGGTCAGGGGTTAGGGATGAGACTTCTGGTCCCAAGATGGTGACAAGAGGCAGGGCAACTGTCAAGGGGTGGGTGGGGCTACCCATGTGGCCCTTGACAGCTCACCAAAACTCTTTAAGTCACCCTCCACCCAAAATAATTGGCCACCCCTGCAATAGAGATAGTTCTCCTTTTCCTTACAATAATGTAAAGAATGGTATATTGATTTATAATACTACCCTACCCCAAAAAGGCTCAGATGGTGCATCTACATGAGATGTTACTGTGAATTAGCCTAATAACACTGTGCAGTAGAATGTCACAGCAAAACCCGTGCTAATAGCCTACTGTTCAGTGTTACATTAAATGTCACTAAATAACCATGCATTGGCACTATTGTGCAGTAACTGTAGGTACTGCTCATTTAATTAGTACTTTATTAAGGAAGTACTAAACTAAATGTAATGTGCAGTATCTAGAACGCATTAATGAATATGTAGATGCGCATAGGGTGGGTTACAATAGAGACAAGGCAAG